CAGCAGAGGAGCCACTCAAGGGTAGCACATGGATGCAATGCACTACGCACGGATGCTTTTGTTGTCTCTGAGCATGGCCCCAGCTTGCTGAGCACCTTGAGCATCGACGGGCCCTCACACCATGCCCTTCCATCACACACCTCTAACCTCACGCTGTGGTGGGCTGTAACTACCCTCATGTTCCTTTACAAATTTTGAATTTTGACAGCCGTAAATACAAAAGAAAGTGGCCCAGAGGAGACTGAGGGCTACATATGTACCATCCACACAAGCAGGGTGGTGTGTGTGTTTCCACACCCAGGCAGGGTGGAAATAAGCCTGCCTGTGGTCTATGGCATTAGGGCCCAGGATCTTCCTAGGAGTCTGATGGCATTTGCTGTTAAACATGTATCAAAGAGAACCATCAGGGGGCCCCTTCTGAGGAAGGAGATCATGGTAAGGCTAAAAAGTCGCAGTTTTAGCCCAAGAGAGGAGTTTGCAGTATGGCACTGAAACACCATGGAGTGCAGGAGGCTGTCTCACACAGCCCTCCCATCTTAACTTCACATGCTTGCTGCACCTCCGGGCTTCCGTATACCATGTATTTTCTTAACCAACTTTGCAAAATTCAAACAGCAGTACAAGTGACTGATTTTTTCCTCTGACTGTACTTCTTACCTGTTTCACAAAGGCTAACGTATGTTTTCAAAGCAGCTGCCAAATTGAAATACATTGTTTTATGGTTGTTAACTAGGCTTGCCAACATCAACTTTTATGAAGTATACTCTGGTCATAACATTCCTTCCACTGTGAATAACTTTGAAGACATTGGCCCCACATTCAACTTCTCAGTTAAGGTAAATGTTTCTGGTTCTGGTTCAAGAAGCTGCTTTACCTCCTCCTGTAGCCTGATCTGAAAACATAGTTGAAAAAGACATTCCTGATTTCATTGTCTGATTTTGATGCTTTTGAATCAGTCAAGTAAGAAAAAAGAAATTGGAAATAGCTGAGGGATAAATGCTTACATTCTTTATGAGGTTAAGGATGAAATTTGCACTTACTGCACGGGTGGAATGGGGGAGGGATTGGTCCTGCACTGTTTACGTATTTAGAAACTGGTTAATGCTTAACTTTAGGCCACCATAGACTGCTTTTTCACAGAGCGTATTTGTCTTCTGCCAACTTGATAAAGGAAAACAAGTATTTGCAGGCTTGGACTTTGCAACTTGAAGTTTGGCAAGGGTTAAGTGCTCAAACCAGATGCAAGAACTAGCCAGATCACAGCATTTATTATGTAACTCAGAAAAACTTAAATCCAAACATGCAACATGGCAGAAACTTAAATTATGTTCCATTTACATTACTGTAACTGCTACTCCAAGGGACTAAGTAACAGGCCTATTGGCTGTGGCAGAATATTTGCTTTTCAAAACATATGTCATGCAATTAATACCAGTTTTGCCAAGGAAACAGACAGGGACCTGAAGCTATACAGTACACTTTATAGTATAGTATAGTATGCTTTACTATAGGCATAATGTAATTACTACCTTAGTAAGTGTCAGAGTACAAAAAACATTGATGCAAAAGGAGTATAGTTCTTTCACACTCATCCATGATTTCTGATTTTCTTGCTATAGCAAAGAATTTATGCATAAGTACAGCTACCTGAATTAATTGTGAGTTATTTGCTTTGCAGGTAACAACAGGAAGTATTCCAGTAAAGATGGCATCTGTAAACATCTATCTTCCAGAACAGACCAACAAAGATAACCCACTGATGTACATAACTGCGGTCACCACAGATCAGGTGAAGAACTGAACTACATAAACTGCTGTGTTTTAGGGGTTAATGAGTACCATGAACAGTTATTTCCCTCATAGCGTGGTTGAAATTCAGAGAATCTATGCCCTTTCTCCTTGTCCCTTCCTCATAAAGGGAAGTGGAGGACCACAATGTCAGCAGGACACTCTGGCAGATGTAGATTATCTTTAGGGTCCATGGCTGACTTTTCGTACGATTCTGGAACTCTTCCGCTAGGTTCCTCTTCAAGTTCCTGGGAAAGGTATAGTAAAAATGGAATTTTTAGACCAGGACAAACACCTCAGGTCAATCTAGGGTAAAAAAATTACCGTAAGAGCCACTTAATTCTGACCAAAACCACACAGTCTCTTAGTTTCCTGAAGTATCCAGTGTTATGTAATTCACAAGCTATTCTTTCACAGTCACCATCTCATCCCAGAAATATATATTGTTATGAAGACTATAAAATCCTGAGTATGATGTCATCCAGTTTAATTTCTGTGATCTTTCCTAGGCCAGAGGCGTTACTTGTCAAGCTCAGATAAATCCACTTCAAATAGGGAAAAGACCTTATTCTGCGTCCTTCACAAAAGAGAACTTCAGAGCTTCCAAAGAACTGGTGAGTAAGACTAAGGGCTGCAGTACCACAGGACAGGCATGCAGAGCGGATCCTTAGGAGCACACTGCTTTACCTGTGGGGACAGCCGTGGTGTGGGTGGCATTTCTCATTCACAATGCAGGAGTGCAGCCTATGGATGCTCCCACATATACTACATCTGCTTTAGATAGAAAGAAAGGTGCATGTTCTTCATGGCCTACAAACACTTAATTTGAATGCACAGAATGGCAAAGGCAAGGGCAAAAATTCTGGATATTAAAAGAACATTTCTTAAAGTATACTTTTAATGCATGCTGTTGTCTTTCCTTGCTGTTTCCCCTGGAAGAACTGTAAGAATGCAAAGTGCAGTACCATCGCATGCAAACTGGAAGACATTATGCTGAAGGGAGAGTACTTTGTGAACGTGTCCACCCGAATCTGGAACGGAACCTTTGCTGCTGTGAGTATCAGCTGCATCTTCATGAAGGATCCAATACTCAAATATTTCCTAACTCCTGAAATTTTTCAAAGTTCAGTGAAGAGACCTTCCAATCTAGAAAGACCTCCCTTTACATTGTTTGGTGTGTTTTTCCAGATTGAAAACTTGAATCTGAAAGTAAAGTTAAGTAGTGGGGCTGCATAATGAACCTGGTAACCAGCACAAAACCTGAGAAAATAGTGTGATAATGCAGTCTTCCCAGCTGAAAAAAAAAAACCATTTTCTGCATCTGTTGAATTATTACAAGGGGAACTACAGCTTCCACAAAACTCAACATAGGACAGCAGAGTACCGTATCATCACAGCCTGGAAAATAATGTTGCTTTTTGCTTTTGAAGGTCACAGCCTACATAGCCATCATTTTAAGTTGCATCGAAAGATCAAAAGCCTATTTGTGCTGCCAGTTATATTTATTAGAGAAGGTGTGGAAATTTTTTTTAATTGATTTTTTTGTCTTTATTAGAGATGGTGTCAAGGAAACAGTCCTTGCTTAAAGACCTGCAGGATGCTTAAAAATCTCCATCAATAATATCTTGACTTCCCCATTTTAAATCACCATGTGTCCTCCAGGATATAACTCATCATCAATTACCAAACTGTTGAAATAAGATCATATTTATTTCTTAGCTAGGCAACCAACCAAGCTGTCTTGGAGTCCTGGGTTTGCCTAGAGCATAAGGAACATGATGCAATCATCTTGGTTTGTCTGGCAAGTCTTATGGCAGGTATTGATATTTAACAGCAGGACTGTTTGCAGCTTTAGCATTCAGCTCTTAAAAGGAAAAGGTCAGGGTGATAATGTAATAAACGTATGCAAGTATGTGAAGGAAAGCATCTGTCTGGCTTTAAAGTTTGTATTTTTCAAACCAGCTGGGTCAAGACCACTTGTTAGCGCTGTCAGGTACACAGAAGGTGGAGACCTGAACAAAAGGTTGCTACACTCACAAGAAAGTGAGTGGAAATCATTTGTTTACTACTGGACAATGGGAAGGAAAGATCGCATATCACAGTTTTCCTCTTATCTTGCATTTTGTTATTTTCTAACTGATTGTCAATGTTCAGTGCAAATAATCTTGCAAGCGCTCAGTAATGTACATAATCAGCCTTTTTACTTAGTGGCAATCAGTCATTGTCCAAGAAGGCAACAGCAGGCTTGCTGGGACCTGCTAAGCAAAGTAAAGAAATATGCGTTTAGGAATTAAGGAGGTGCTTTGAATAGTGCTTAGGCAGGTTTCTAAACATTTAGGAGCGCAGGACAGACCTCTTGGGCAGATGGCCACAGTGCAGATATGCAGTAACTATATGCTGCAGGGACGGTCAATTTGGTGTGCGTGGGCTGCTGCGGACCCACAGTCACTCAGGTTCCTGAGTCAAGCCCACCGTACCTGGCCCTGCTGCAGATAAACTGCTGAGGAGGCAAAATGACAGAGCAGGCATAGCATTTCATACAGCTGGTGAGTGCTCCCATGCTCCCACAAACCTGAGGCCGTTCCCAGTGTTGCTGTAGGAAATGGGGGTCTCTGTGCCTGTGGCACAGGGAGACGAGCAATGGTGAGCTTGCAGTGTCTGCACAGCCGTGCTGCTCTCCTCTCGACATGCACAGAGGGAAGTAGGATCTGGCACAAGGTCCTTTTTCAAACAGGAGTTGGCTTAAGATTTTTGTCATCTTTTTTGTTTAAGCTGAGGGAGTGGTGTCACAGTTTGAGCAGTGGATAGGAACAGATAGTGATAGGGAAAAATAAATCTGGAAAAACAGAAGCATTGGATAGAGGTGGGGGGGGGAAGAAAAGGTAAGAACATCCAGTTTCCATTTCTTTCAAAGGCCAGAGATACATCCCCATCCGTCTTTTGTTGCTGAGCTGTTTCTCCCTTTCTCACTGTTATTTTCTCCCCATCTCTTCCCTGCTAACAGCAGTGACAGCTACAAAATAACTATAAAAATGGATATATAATCAACTCCTTCTGTTTTACTTGAACCATACATTAAAGGAAAAAAGCCAGTCCTCCAGTTTCATTGGTAGTAAGTAAGAACAGCAAAATTAAGTCTGGATTACTGATACATTATTTGTTTCAGCTTGGGACAAATAAAAGATCATTTTAATTTTCTTAATAATGTGATTTTTTTTCTCTGGTTCTGAAGCTCTTAATTTCAAAGAGAATTATTTCAGGATGTCTACATTCTGATCAATTTGCCCTGTAATTGACCTTTACAGCTTTTTTTTTTAATCTTCTCTTTCAGTTAACTTTCCAGACATTACAGCTCTCTGTAGAGGCAAAAATCGATACACATAACCCTGAGTTATTTATAATTGGAGAGAATACCCTAACTGTAAGTGACAGATAAATGTATTTTTTTCAACTTCTCTACCTTCTACTCTATTAAAGTGATATTTAATTTTCAGTGTCCTTTAGGAGTACATAGCAAATTACAAACTCTGATGACAGTTGATTATGTTGAACTAATGTATCCTTTTGGCTATACACAACATCTCTTAAGTTACTAAAATGTTTTTATTTCAGCCAACTACTATATAAACCAGACTTAGTAAAAATCTGTAGATCTTAAATAGATTGTAGACAGAAAAACTCAGTTAGAAATGTCTGAAATTCATTTAGCTTCCTGTTCATGAAAAGATCAAAATTTGGACTTCTTTCTGCAACAGAATGAATCGCTGTAGATAAATGAGCACTGGGAAACATTTTCACAAATCTGATTTATAGTCTTACTTCTGTAAGTATATTTGGTTTGATGTTTGTAGACAGACGTTTCACACAGATCTCCAGCAAATATACTTCATTTCATTTGTAAAAGAATTTGGAGTATTTATTGCATTTGGAATGGCTGTCATAGACAATGTGGATACAGCTATCTCAAGAAAAGTCTCCAAACCACCACTTTATTAGTGTAGAATCCTTCTCTGAAGGTTTCCATCTGCTACATACAAACGTAAACAACACTTGAAGAATACATAAGCGCTGTGGTGCTGTTGTAATAGAAAAGATACCTTGTTCTCTTGGCCTGTCTAGGGAGAAACACTCTTCCATGTGCAATATTAAGTTTAGATTTATTTTTACAGGATTTATCAGCCTGTTTTATCCATAAAAATAACCAAAGCCATTCAAGACAAAAATGCCAAGTTAGTAAGGGAGTCAAATATCTGTGAGAATGTGTAGGATAAGCCCATTCGCAGGCAATGGAAAATTCAGTTAAATATGTACAAAGTTGGTTATTGATTGATCTATCTGAATGTGGGAATAAGACCATAATTCAGTACTATTTTTGGCTGTTGTTTTCTCATGGATCACTCCACTTCTTGCAAAGAACTTCTAAAAAGACCCATTTGTATTCAGGGAAACCTCCAGTGCCTGAAGAAGCAAAGGGAATAAATGTGTAGTTCTGGAAATAATACCATGTTTTTGCAGAAAACTTACATGCCTATTTTTAAAGTGTGCTGAATGCCTCAGCTTTGTGGCACAGTATTATTTCTGCTAGTAGATGAAGCTCATTAATACACAGTGCAAATATTCCAATTAATTGCACAGGCTTTTTAGGTAGCTCATAAACAATAGATTACTAGGTATTTTTCCACAGTTGGAGCATGATACTGCCAAATTTACGTGACCAGAAGTTCTGTTGGTGATTTCAGGAGAACAGGATTTAACTATTCAAATGATTGCTGATTAAGTCAGTTGACAAATAAAAGGTAATTCCTCAGCCAGCCATTGAAACTGCAGCTCTAAGCCAGTGGCTGAACAGACCCTGAATGTTATCCACAGCAATCCTAAGAATGGTGGGGTTTGGTGCGGCTTACAGCCTGATCCTTACTCAATAACCTCTTGCCCTGAGAAGTCTTGGAAAATGTGCCAGCTGGTGCAGTTACACTCTCTCTAAGGCAGAGTTTGCTTTGACACTTAGTGATGGAGTCGGCTTTCAGCACTGCACAGACTTCTTGGCAGGCCAGCAGTGATAACCAGCTTTGCCCTTCACACTTCCTTAGGAATAGGGCAGTGCAGAAACAATCTATTTCCCTACTTATGCTATTATTTGAGACGAGGGTGGTAGGATTCATCCAACTTAATATCTACGTTAGTCATCCACATCCAAGTTAGCCCTTCTATAAACCCTAATCTGTAGAAAGAATAGGTATTTCTGAGATGCAATTAATCTCATCTTAAAGATGATCCTGAAAATAAGTAGGGTGAATTAGGCCCTACAAGAGGCTATCCTTCTCCACTGGAAGCCAAAGAACTATATTGTAGATATAACACTAGATGTGGTGTCTTACTAACCACAGTTTGACTTCAGGAAAGGTATTTGTTCCTAAGCATCAATTTACTTCTCCAACAGTGCCACTTCACTGCTAATTTAATGGAGAAAGCATTACCAGGCAAACTGCTCATACATATGAGATTGGGTCTTTAGTTTGGATGAGCTGGGTCGTTGTGTAGCCAAATGAATTAATACTGCCTTGTGATGCTACGTGGGGAAGCTGCTTAGCTATCTTTGCGTAAAAGCTTTCAGATTTTTTCCAAGTCTGAAAGGACTGCCAGCTGGAGGACAGAACGTTAACCTGCTATAATCATCATTATGGCCATTTGGTTAGAAAATACACAAAGCCATCCTGCCTCAGTGAAATGAATATACATAGCCACACCTTGCACAACATCGGAGCCTTCCAGCAGAAATTACTTAAATCACTGAAATGTCAGGCCAGTGCAAGTTTCCCAGAAAGCTTAAGATTAAATTACACCAGACAAATGCACTGAGCAAGCAACCCTGAGAAAGTAAACTGACGTGACTTCTTCTACCATGTTTCAGGAAGGAAAAAACCTTCATGCTAAATGCATGTCCTTCCAAGATTAAATCCAAAGTTTTGACAGTTCATAAATATTACAGCAATGTCTCCCTGAGCAACCATGTTATACGTAACTATATAGTTGGTCACACCCAATCCAACTAGATAGGACATCACCCGAAAACTAACTTCCAGACACTGTATGCTGTTCTGGGAGCCCTCTAGTATTGTTTGTAGTTCAGAAAGCGTGGGTGTGCTAGAAACACCCCTGTTTGGCCCACACATCTTACAGCAAATTCATGCAGTCGAGTCAGGAGAACACAGGTTAACATGAGAAGATCCAACAAGATGTCAATGGTCTCCCAGAAGGTAAGGAACAGCAGGCAAAGGAGACAGAGGTACCTATCCAGCAGCAAGGGGGAAATTTCAGCAGACGCAGTAATTGCATGATGGTGTCTGGCCTCCACAATTAGTATCGCCTCCTACAGCTGCCCACCATAGATAACAGGCTCTGACAAAACTCAGTTTGAAGTACTTCTTCTCCAGCTGATGCAGCAGAAGTCTGTTTTGAGCAGATGGGGCTCTACACCAGGCTGTTCCCCACCTGCACGTAAGCATGTCTGGTTTACCTACTGATGGTGTGTCTATGTACTATGGGAACAACTCTGAAAGACCTCCTGTTGCTGAAGAGGCAGAAAGCTGGCAGGAAGAGATTGCTTCTCTGCCTGTAGTCCAAGAGGGATGAGGGCCCCTAATCCTTAACTGGCACTGCCATGTGGCATGGTGGTGCAACCAGGTACCTGTGGACACCAGTGAAAGGGCTGTAATTACCTGGTATGTTGCAGTTGTTGATCCTGGAATGTGGGCAGTCAAGCTATTCTTGATTAGTGAAGTATTTGGTTTACAAATCCTACTTTATATGCAGTTAACATTAACCCCCAATGCACAATCCCTCTGCTTTCAGATCCCAGTTACAATAATGAAGCCAGATGAGGAAGCTGAGATACCAGTTGGTGTTGTGATTGGCAGTATATTGGCTGGACTCCTCTTGCTGTTAGTATTGGTTGCCGTTTTGTGGAAAGTAAGTAGGTGTTTATATTCTTAAAAAGAAAAGCAGAAAGGGATAAATACATTTGGGCTATTTTCTTTGGAATCTCTCTTCTCTGGTGCTGAACAAAACCACACATGCAGTTTGGTGGTATGAATAATACTGCATTGGCATTGTGCCCTTAATGGGAGCATTTAGAATGGCTTTAAAAATCAAAATTCTGAAATGGGTTCCCATAGAAGCTGGCAACATGAAAATGATAAATGAGTTTCCAGTGGTTCAAAACAGGGGCTGTGGCATGTACTTTTTTCCTTTTGACACTGCTTGCCTCCTTCCATAACTCCCCAGCTGGGCTCTGAACTCCCATGATACTCCCAGTGGGCAAGGCTGGGGATTAGAAGCAAGGAGAAAGAGGATATACACTGAACAGACAAAAAGAGAACAGAGAAGGGTGAGGGCAAAAAGTCACTTACAAAAGATACGTAGATTAAGGGGAGAGAAAAGTTTTTCTGTGTGCCAGGGCATTGGTGCTTGAAGGGCTCCTTGGCACACCAAGGCAGCATGGAGATGCCTGTGTCTTGGCATGGAGACAACCGACTACTCAGCACTGCTGTTTTGGCATTTAGTTGCACCAGGCAGGAGTTTGAGGCCCAGCTCAATTTTAGTCAGGAATTGTCTACAAATCAAACACTATATGTGTGTGCATTTCTACCATTGCACTCTTTAGCTTAGCTGAGAAATGTAACTATCAATGACTCACTGTGATGTGGTGGTATTCTAATACTTCTCACAGCTTGGCTTCTTCAAGAGACAGTATGAGAAAATGACACAGGATATAGAAGATGTCGATGAAATTACAGAACTCACAAAGGACAAAGACTGAAGGTGATGAGTTATGTGGATAAAGAGAGGAGACCTGAGCCACCAACAGTAGTTGTGATCCAGTCGGTTCTTCAGCTGGAGTGCCTTAAAGCTTAGTAACATTTAAACATTTTTAATGGAAGTGTCTTGTTATAGGTGAAAATATTTTACAGATTCTACTCTAAGAGTAACTGCAGGACAGTTTGTTTTTTTTCAAAAATGATTTATAGTGCCTTTTCTTGTAAATGTTTGGCTTTCAAACAAACTTAGCCCTTAGAACTGGCAGGTCCGGAGTTTACAGTAACATATTGTGCCAGCAACCCTTCTCCTGACCCACTGCAGAGTGAAATACAGCAATTTATTTCAGATCATTGTGGAACAGCATCAGTTCATAATTCAGTTGACAAGTACCATATGTGGAAAGGACATTTTCTATTAAGTTGATGATGAATGTGTGGTGAATACTGCTTCCAGACTGGGAGAAGAAAACTTTTTTTTTTTTTTTCATTGACTAGCTCCATCCTTATTGTTTTAGAGAAATAATTTGTACCAGCAAACCTTTGTCTTAACTAATCTATAAAGTGGGAACAGCGTATGAAGATGCCTATCTGGGTGCTACAGGACAACTGGATGGGCAAACTGTTCCAAAAGTTCACCATATTCCTTGCACTAAGATCACAACTAAATTACCGAAGTACAATGGTTTGTGTCAATATTGACAAACGGTATATATAACTGCCTTCTGCATACTTTCTCTCTGCGAAGAAAATAGGAATTTCATAATCACCTACAGCATGTTCTCTGCAATGTTATGTTTGGTTTTCAGATTTCATCTTGAGCAGCACTACCACTACTGTTACACTGGGCTTTACACTCACAGTTCCTCTGATATGACTTTTGATGTAGATAGGGAAGACAGTCAAGATCTTGCTTTTAATTATGTACTGAAAGATACTGCTAGGAGTACAAAGTGGAACTAAAGGGGATGATGACTGAGGAAGTATGCACATTAGGACCCAGGATAGTGAAGATCTAAGCTCTGTAAATTTACTGCACTTGTTTCTTTAGCATCTTAGTGCCCTCCAGGAGACCAAAGTTCAGTATGACTTCCTTACCTGTCACATTTTATTTGGTCACACATGTTCATGTCTTGATGAAGTTAACTTATGTTTTATACAGTAAAGTACTGTAGTGCTCTGGAGGGAGCTCTGAGCACAACACTTGGGTGACTTTGTGTTGGCTACACACCTCAAGTTTATCACATACCATTATGCTGCCTGGTTTTAATGAAAGTTCAGTCTTTAAAAGGCCCATGCTATAAGACTGGTAACAGTCGGGGAACTGGCCTTTTGGCTGCCTTTCTCTCTCATGGCTGGCAATTATGCTTATAATCGACTGGGGGGGAAGATGTATGTGTTTTTTTTATGTACACTGCCGTGCAAGGGAGATTTGTTTCCAACTCAAGGTGACTTACTTGAAGAGTAAAACATTTAAATGTGCCAGATTCAGAAACCGAAGTCACGTTTTCTTTCCCCCAAATCTAGATTGTAATTATGCTTAGGCACCTTTCAGACTAATTTCTGAGGGACTCTTCAAAAACTAGGCTTGAGCACGTTTGAAAGTTTTACTCAGTCTTTTTTAATCGGTAATCGGTCAGGAGCCAACCACCTCTTTGGCAAGTAATAGCTTCATTTGCAGTGACAGCTGAATTGTGCTCGGTGTAGTTTTATGTGTGTTTTGGCCTTATTTTGTATCTATGAAATGTTATGTTTTGGGGTGGGGTTTTTTTAACATTCCGAAAAACAATCAGATTCCGATCTTGATTGTCAAACAAGATTGTTGCCATCAGCTGAGTTTGTGACCAAAACAATTATTTAAAAAGTTTAAAAAAAAAAAAAAAAAAAAAAGTAGTAATTGCATAAAGCTAAAGAATAAGCTCCTGACTTGTAATTATAAACCCTGAGGGCAAACACTCTGAAAGTAAAGATAAAAATTTATCTGTCTAAATTCTTGTATAAACTTGTAAGGAAGAAAACAAAACCCTACACCCATATGTGTGGGAAGCTCCTACATAACCAGGGTCATGCACTCCAGGCCAGAGGGGGAATTTCACAATGCAGCAGATCATAGCATCTTTCATTTCTGGTGCTGCTTGCAAGGGAAATTTAGGCATTCAGCCAAATTTCCTTCCTCCACATTCAGTGGGAGGTACAGGTCAATACCTGATGGCCAATTTCTTTGGGGATTTAACTGTTTATCAGTCAGGTAGCAGTGATTCAATTCACTAGTCTTCACTGGGTTTTATTTTGTGCCTGACAACAGGATTTTCCCCCCAGCCTCCACATAATACTTTTTTCCCAAAATAAAGGGAAGGCATAGCAATGGGTAAGGTTTTTGTATCCTAACCACTTCAAGTTACTAGTTTATTTTTTTTTTTACTATTAATACTTAAATGGCTAATTCAGTTTTTGTAATGAGTGAGTCTATTGCACTTTTAAGTTGGCACAGCTGCAAATAATGCTGGAAATATTATGTATATTTTGTATTATGCACAAGGGGTTGGTTTTCTTTTTTGTTTTACCTACTTAAAACAGCACATTACAGGTGAAATAATACTCTGAAATGCTGAGCTTCAGCATGTGCTCCTATTTGTGTCTGCAGCAAGAAAAGTCAGGAATACTTTCAGCAAACTCAAGTTATATCTGATTCTGGTCTTGAACTCTAGCTGCTGACTTCTTGAAGTACTAGAATCAAGTCCAAAATCAGAGGTAGTTTCATATGAGCCTATGTATAGATTGGGGATGTAGAAGTTTCTAATCAAACTGACTTCTGAAAGCTAGTGTGTAAGCTCTATGGGAGCAGGGACTTTTATCACTGTTATGCCTACCTGAGGGCCTAACAGCGTTACTACAATAAAAACAAGAATACTGCTGAACATGGACTCATTTATTTTTAAACAGCACCCTAAAAAGAAGAAATGCTACAGCAAAAGCACTACAAAAAATGGGGCCAAATATGCCTTTGTTCCAATAGCACACAGTAAAAACCCTAAGGGGATGACTGCTAGATCCACAAAGAAGCTGCACTTGAAGTCTTGTAGGTTATAGTTATAACACTATCAGTAAGCCATATTGCAGTGTAAGTCAGTTCACATTAGTGCAAAATACCTACATTTGAATAGCTCTGGTTGAAGAGTTGGTGTTAAAACCTTAGCATGTTCAAGCCTTCCTCTAAACATGAGGTTATTATCGTTGGCATCCAAAATTACATCGTATTCTGCCACTCTCATGCCCTGCACTTTATACTACGTACAGAATTGGTCAGCAGTGGCACGTCCTGACACCAGCTCTAGCTGCTACCCACCATACACTGGAAAAGCTGAACATAACATCTCAGCAGGAGCACAGTGGGAAAGTAAGAGAGGGAGGCACTTAAATGTGAATAGTAGGACAACAGGAAGAGTCATGGCAGCAACTACCACCTGAAAACTAGCCACTTTGTGCTTCCTTTTTTCCCCCACTTTCAACTCCTCTGTATTTTTAACACTAGTACACAAACATTCAGGCTACCAACTTCAACACTTCCTTAACACAGAACCAGATGATCCTAATCTTAGGGCACAAAACTCCCATCTTTCACCAAGTCTCAGCGTTCCACAGAACTGAAAGCCAGATTCCTTATATACTGACTTGTGTGTATTACCCTGTATATCCAAAACTGAGGTAAAACAAAAGCTTGCAAATTAAATACTAAATAAAACAAAGGCATGAAAATGTATCTCAAAATCTATAGCTTATTGCCTCAACTTTTTATTGCCTTTAAAGGCAATAAATTGTACATAATTTTCACAGCCTTAGAACAGTTGAGACCTATCTTTAAGTTAACTTTTCTGTCCTCATTTATGATCAGTTACTCATATGCAATCACAGGCTTTGGTGTGCTAGCAGTTTTTAAAATGTGTTTGCCTCTTTCTCTTAAAATAGTTGAAATGGAACTTTAAGAACAGCACTGCTATAAAGATAAATCAAGATGCTAATTTTTGTAACTCTTGGTAAGATCACAGTGTATGGTTGGTTTGCTTTTGAAGAACATGCCTAAAGTACTCAAAGAAACTGCTGATTTATAGTTATCAGCCTATTCTTAGCTCTCTTTCTTCAAGTACCTCTACAGGACACTTACTGGAAGAGCTCAAGATTCAGTTTTCAGAGCTTTTGGGGAGGCAAGGGGTAGCAGTGTGTGCTTTCACATACAATTTCACTTTGTTAATAACTAGTTTTAGCAGTTTTTCCTTTTATGTTTTTGATGAAGCAACTGAACTACAAATTCCTTGAACAGCAATGGGAAAAGTGAGCTGAGAGAAAAGCCAAAAATCTATTTTAAAGTTGAGCAACCTAATGGGTTCATTCCTGAGTGTGACAGTAGCACGTTCCTGAGTGACAACCGAAAAGAGAGCCTGTATTTCCCCGCACAACCAGCACCTGGGCAGGCTGGGAGCCGCTTCTCCCGCACAGCTGTCTCTCGGCTGCCATCTCCTGGGTAGGCTCCGTATAACACAGTCCCGCCCCCCTCCCCGTTCATTTCATGCCAACTCATCAGTTAGTATTTTCATAGTACGCATCAGGCTGAGCTTCTCTTGAGAACAGAGCAGAACGAAATATCGAAATCAGGAAAGGAAACTCTTAGAATTAAGCAACGCTGGTATATGGATGTTTTGCCAGGCAAAGGGATGGATCAGTGTATACAAATGTTGCTAGCCAAGACTAAGACATCTTTTCTGAAGGACAAATTCTTGCTCTGAAGACATGCTCTTCCCTTCCACAAACACCCCTCATCTGGCAGATCTCTACAGGAATCACACAATGACCCTCTAGTCTGTTGCGCCTGTTCCCAGAACATCTGTCTGTACTTGGAGCCACCACCTCTGCAGCATGCTGTGACAGCTGGAAAAGCCATGGACAGGTGAAATTACCTTCCCCTATAGCCAGGGCAGAGAAATAGCTGGACTTATCCCACAAACTAGGACTGCATTGTATATTGATCTGCAGCTGCCTATCATGCCACTCACGGACCTCACCAGAACACGAGGCAGCCCTCATCCAGGCAGCCTAGTCCTGCATGTGTAGAAACCAGGACATGTGCAGCCACATCGTTCTCTGACACAAAGTCAGACACAGCTGGGATTCATCCCCTGGCCTGGAAATTTGGAAGCACTTCTGGGTCACTCCAGACATAGCCTTAGGCAGCTGTCTCAGAACACAGCAATTGGTCCTCTTACGATAATACTGCCCTAGCAGAGAGGGTAGCCCAACAAAGGAAGCCTGTGCACCAAGCTCAGAGTACGGACTTAAATTTCAGTGAGATACATTTTACCTCTAATTATGCACATCATCCCTCCTAGGGGCATTTCCATTTCGCTTTTAGATGCCAGCTGAGGAACCCAATGTTACACAAGACTGATACATCATTGTTCCAGAACAAAGCAGTACTTGCCTCACGCACAGCTAGGGACACAAAATGACATTTCATTGTTTTGACCATGGCAGTGTACACACATTGTAACACTCAGCTGTGACTCAGTACAACATCTCTTCCATTCATTGTTCCTGGTCACTGTGGGGAAGTACACAATTATTCTTTCTCTTCTTTTCTGCACCCTCCTTCCCAGATGCATTGCTGATGGGGAAGGTGCAGTTAAGGTCACCCTGCAGAAATGTCCCAGGAGACTGCAGCACTAGAGAGGCACCAGTGCAACACAGGAATTGCCCTGATTGCAGGGACCCCAGCACTGTTTAACTGTTGTAAACACCACTACTTTTCTGTATCAGAGCACAGCACCAGTATGCAAGCACTGCACAAGTTTTACTTCATTCATAAACCATCCACTACAGGGCAAGCTACCTCTTTATTTTTGTGAAATTAATACACTAATTAGTCGCACGGAACAGCAAACATGAACATGGAAAAATGAACACCAAAAATGGGAAAGTTTGTGTATTTCTTTTCTAAAAACAAAAAGAATTATTTGACAAAGGAAGTAATTTGTACTCAAGATTCTGTGCAACTCCTGGTAAAAATGACATTCAAATAGTAGAGGGCTTCTCTCCAACCTCCAAAGCAAAGGAAAATTCAACCTTGAACATGCTAAGCTCTGCCTAGATAACAGGGCCCACATGATTTGGAGGCTGCATATGTGTAAGCAGGCAAGGAGCAGCTGCTGTCCTGCAGCAGAAGGATTCGCTCACTTCTGCTGAGGAAAGTGCATCAGTAAGTTAACAAGCACAGTCTTCTGCCTGAAGTTAGATGTTTCACTGGGGGTTACTTGATCCAGATACAGTAACCATCGTTAAGTATTAAAACTGATTTGAGATCGCTGGGGAGAAAAGATCATCACCTATTTTTCTCACTTTATTTTATGCAGCTAGCAGCTGTTTGTAGATTTTTATTGCAGACATAATTAAATGGATTATACAGCTGAGGCTTAAGTGTCACATGATGTAATGATACATCAACCCAAGCAAATCATTTTACTTTACCTCATTTCCCTTCCTTTATATCTATCTTGTCTACATTGATAACGATGACTAGATAAAACTGCCTCTCACCATTAGTAAAAATGCCATACCAATGGGACTTTGAACTCTTAGCATCTAAACTATCACAGCACAGTACAATAACATAAATAAAATTATCTTACTTAGATGAGCAGCCCATTGTTTCCAGTGGAAGCACAGGGATACTATGGTCAGTCTTTTTTAACTAGGTTTCAAAACAGTAACAAGAGAAAAACTGTACTGAATTCATAAATGTGAATCTAAATGCATATATAAACTGCAAAAAGTTCAACAGACTCATTTTCCTTTGAAAAACTAATCTGCTTTGATGACTTTGAATCCTAACATGTCTAAAGTCAAACTACTAAAACTAATTAAACTTATAATTGTCTATTTGTAATAATAGCTGGCTTTTTTTTTTTTCCTGCAGCAGCACACAATTACACAGACAAAAAAAAGCTCCTTCAAAATTAATCATGTCTAGACATCATTAAGTAGTTACAGGTTTGTGTTTTGTTGCTAATATAAGTTTGTTGCTGGTAGAGTATTAGATCTAACTTTGAATCAAGGTCTGTCCATATTTTTTTCATGTAATGGACTTGTAATTTCAGCTGCACAGTAAAAACGATTCTGTGTTACACAGCTACTGGAACATAACCTCTACTAACAAGTTAGTAACTCTGGGGTATAGTTTATATTTTCTTCTCTGTCTGTACCATAATGTTTAATCTACTTCAAGTAGCTTTTCTGTTACAAGAATGTCAAAATAGCATAAAGCTTGCAAACTGATTCTACAGTCACATAAAACTAAAATACTCAGGACTTTAAGCTCTAAAAAAATCCAGTCATCCTGTTGTGACCTCCCACGCACACAGTGAATGCAGACTACCAATGTAAAGGCAATTAAAGCAGTATCTATCACAGAGGACTAAACAGCTTGCAATCAAGAATTTCAGAGAAGACTGTTATAAAAACTGACTCCATGTTAAAATGCACAAAGATGTGAATTCAAAGGAGAGTAAAGAATACTCAAAAAACCTAGTGATTACTCATTCATTTCATTCAGTCCTAATGAAATTATTCAGATTGAAATGTCTGTTACAATTGCTTAAAAACGTATAGATTCTCTGTAAAAACAACACAAAGCTAAACCAATACGCTCATTAGGAACAGTAACACTTTATTTTTAAAAGAGTACAGTTATTTTTCTGAATTTGCCCAAAAGCATTCCTTGTTTTCTTTCCAAGAATATTCGTCCTCATAAATCTCCTGCAAATACAAACAAAGAATGGGAAATACTGTGGGAGCCTGCTACATACAGCCACACACCAGGCCAAACAACTCAACAACCATCCTGCTATTATTTACCGATCACAACAGGACTACACAGCCCTTGGCTGGCAAACAGAAAAGACAGCAGCACCCTTACCACCACACTGACTCACAAGTGGGCAGATGCTGAACCCTGGGCTGAGCCCCATTAAATTTACAAGGGCCCATCTATATTGAAGTCAATTCAGGAAAGAGATCTAGAAGAAGTTATGTAAAAGATGTAGAGTACACAGCACTCGTGTCTGAAACTGCCCTTTTTACATCTTGCCATGTTAACCTACTGTGCCATGATTTTTAGGAGAGTATTTAACTGTATACAAAATGTCAGTATTAAAAAAACAAAAACAACAACAATACAAAATACACTATGTATTAGATCTTCAGGACAGACTGGACTACCCAGCAGCAGTCCAGTCCCAAGCAGCAAATTCAGTAGGGCTCTGAGCCCCCGATTATTCTTTTTGAGACCACAGAACTCCAGTCTCCTGAAAGAGGTGTCAGAAAAGTGGAGTAACGCAAAGAACGTCACTGTTACCACATGCCAAAGTCTGCCTGGGACAGAAGGCAGAGGTAATGCTCATTACTTGCATGTAACACTGTGGTTATGCAACGAGGCTCTTTCTAGACCCCGGCTGGTCTCTCCACACGTTGCTGTGTGCCCATACCAGCTTTGGAACGTCTGCACCTCCCTTCATTGCACGCTGTTGCTTAATGCTTTGTCCTTTCTCAAGGCCACGGTGATGAGGGGAAAACAGAAAGGCAAGAAATGCCACTTTTACGTGCAAACTGCAATGCTGTTGAAAGCCAAGCTGACTTAAAGCTCTTCCACAAGCCTGTGCAGAACTGAGTTTGGCCACCCAGGAGAGCGCAGGGCTCCTTCAATTTGACCCCAGAATGGCATTAAAAGGAAGAGGAGCGAGATGGTACAGGCAAGGGAGGGCCTTCCAGGTGCCCTACCTGCCACAGATGGGCCTGGCTGCATTAGAAGAAACTCACTGGTGCTAGACACTGGCTTCCTGTTAGGAGCAACTGCTGCCCATAATGCTTCAGCTGCTTCCCCTAAGAGCAGCTGCAGCCTTTAGCGCATCTGTCTAAGATTGGCACAGGTCTAAAATCAAATCTGTCCCCAAACATACCTTTTTCCATATTGGGACGGATGCTTTTAAGGCGTTGATGCAATACATGACAGCTTCAAGGGATTCTGCTCTGTGTGGAGCAGAGACTGCAATAATTACACTTGCTTCAGTTACTGGAACCACACTAGGGAGAGAAGAGGAACAACAGCAGCTTTAGCTAATGCTTAACATCAAGAGCACCCAAAAGTTGTGGCCATGTCACGTCAGTATTCTGGCCACATGCTCTCCTGACTCATTCATACTGAGCAAGTGTCAAGCTATGTCCAAAAGATTATACACTTTTAAAAAGAAACAAAACCACAACCAAAATCAGTACCAGATGTGAGAATTCCATGCTTTAGAATAAATAAACCCACCAAACATAAGCTTTTTTCTTCCATTCTTTCTTTTTTTTAAATAAAGTCTATGGAATTAAGGGGGGAAAATTGCTAACTTGCAACAATGCATAGGAAACTCACTGGAAGCTGGCTTAATAATGAATAGTAACAAGTTAGGAACAGCCAGTTCTTATCTGAAAACCTAAGAAATCATCTCTGTTTGCAAAATAATTTGTGAAAGAAGAAATTAAGAGCCTCAAACTATGCAGATTTTGCAATGAAATTTTTTTTTTGACCAATTCTGATTTCAAATTACAAAGTTTTTCCTGTTTGGTGTGTTGTTTTCCAAACTTAACAGAAGTAGCACAAGATTTTGCTTTATTCCTCACAAGGGTACTATTCCCAGAAGCTGCCTCCCAATCCTCCCTCTATAGTAAGCCTCCTCTGGCAAACAGTTCATAGGAAAAAATCTAAGCTTAAATGCTTTGAGCTGCCCTCAAGAGAACCACTCTCTCTGTTGACTATAGAGGAAATCGAAGGAAACCACCGCTCAGAGCTAGTATTACCCTTTGCAGTCACCTCCTAAGTTCCTTCTGCTGAGAGAAAAGGAAGCAAAATTGCAACAGACTCTGCAAATCCAGCCAGTTTCAGTGAGAAATCTGAAGAACACTGAAAGCTCAAGAGTATGTCAGACACTGGTATTCCATGCTTTGAACCCAATAGAAAATGCTTATCCAAGACTCAAGGAACAACAGGAGGTTCTTTAGCAAGCATGGGGGGCAATTACCATGCCTTTCCTCTCCCCATCGTCTAAGCGTTCAGGTTCCCTATGGCATAATTTGACTTAAATCTGACAAGAACATTCTGTGGCACCTCAATGGAAGAGAGACGAAAAGAGTGCCGCCAATTTCATATCTTTAAAAAAAGACAAAACAAACCAATACCCTCCCCCTTCCTGGAATGAAATCTCAATCTCTTCTCTCTGCTTTCAAACCATCACACCAGCACCAAGAATCCTGCAGGCTAAATGTGGACATGGGCAAAAACTACCAATACATACATTTTTGACAAGATGATTTCTGAAACTTAGCTTCATAGCGAGGGCTTGATCCTGCAGCCACCTTCGCTGCATTACAGTTTATAAAGACTCCTCTATGTCCTGCAACTATGTAAGCACAGCCACGCACCAGACAAGAATTAACATTCCACTTGCAGAAGGATGGGGTCTGGCCTTACATACCCAAGTCTATGGTGCACTGCAATATGCTTGACTGATGGCCATTTCTGTCTAACATCTCTGCAGATCTTCTTTATTTCAGTCTCTGCCATTGAAGTATATGCTTCATATTCTAAATTAATCACTTTTTTCCCTTCAAAATTATTTCTTGTAGTACCTAAACACAAATGGTTTATCAACCAAAAGCACTGAGTAAATAAATAAATATTTATAATATATACATTTATTACATTACAGCATTATCTATAAATACTGAGTAAAACCCAGGATCTCCTGCTATGGTCAAAGTCAGCACTGTGCAAATATAAATCACCTCCCCTAATCATGGCTGTATAAAGAGATTATTTTGAAAAAGAGAAATCTTTAATATACCAAGAAGAATCTAATTTATACATCATAAAAGTCTGCAGTCTGTAATGCCCAAGGCTGGGACATCTCCTGTGATAACTACTGAGGTGCTATTACTGCATTTGCCCACGCAATGTTTAAGTGCTCAGTATTTAAGAGCCCAGTAGCACTAAGGTTTAAGCACAAAGGGTTTTCAAGTTCTGTACCATGTACATTAAGCAACAGGACAGAGCTATCAGCCTTGACCCTCACCAGCCCACGGGTAAAATAGTACTTTACTTTCAACCAAGACCTGAGTTGTAGGAGCTTTCACACAGGCGTGGACCTGTGGTTTGCATAACCACAACATCCCATTTGCCACCTTTAACAATCTGTGTCCAAGGGAATTGGTGAGCTCTGTACTCCAGGGCTGCTGCTCTGTTCAGCCCCAAGATAGCCTCACCAGCGTGGAAGCTTCTCACCGCTTTGTCCCAGTGCAACTGTTTAAGAGCTGCCATGGTCTTCTTCTAAATAATTCAGAACATGTTTTCAGAATAACCTGGCTTCAGTCCAGGAATTTATTTATTTGAGAAGCACAAGTTTGGGGGGTGGACAATCTAGGTTCCGTTTATTAGACTATTAACACACTCATAGATCGCGCTCAGAAATATTAAAACTCACCAATGAAGAGAGACACTGCCCCACAGTACGGTGAAATGACCAGCTCTGACACTTCATCTACAGAGAGCTTTTCAGACTTGAGCTTGATAAGATCTTTCGGCACATCTTCGCTTTCATCCATAGCTCACCAGAAAAGCTGAAAACAAACAGACGCTGTTGTTGGTTTTGGTGATACTAGCATTGGCCAACCGCTTTTCATCCAGTGCTGACGCCCCAATTTATGCAGAAAACATGCACCATCTACTTCCTCACCAGAACAGGCCAGACTCCATGGCAAATTCACCTCTCAGCAGACTTGCCAAGAGAATATTAACTGCAAATATCATGCAATGACCTGTTTTTGAACACAATCAGATTCCTTCCTGGGAGGAAAGTCTGGTCCAGAAAGACTAAACCAGAACTAGTTTGAGGCCCCAGTAATACCAACCAGCATGGACCACTGTGCTAGTAAATCCGTGGTAAGATTGTCAGCCCCTCCTCCCGATCTTATCCTGAAATCAAACATAGTTTAAAACAGAGATTTCTGATAAACACAGACTAAGACTTCTAATCCTGAAGTTTAATATGCTCTCCAGGACATTCAGGACCTCATACAATCAGTCTGTTTCAGTGACACAAGAGACACTTCTAACTTTTCTGAGTAGAAAACAGTCATCAGTTCATCTAAGAATGAGGAGGAAAAGAAGTATTTTGAGCAGCAGCAATGGAACAAACTGCAGTAAATACACAGACTGGCACTTGAAAGCATGCAAAGAAATGAAGCTATTCTAAAGACACCTGTTCCTTTGACAGCAACAAACAAACAAAACAAAACAAAGGGGGATTTTAAGCAGCAGTCAATTCTTTTTCTGTATCATCTTTTCTGTCAAAAAGTGGCAAGAGGTTTTTCATTATTATTTTATTTAAGCAAGCTGGGTATCTACTGGCAGCCAGAAAGAACTATGAAAGAATAACAGGACCTAAAGTCCAGATTCAAAACAATGCCTGACCCCACTGGCAACTTTCTTCCATTTACTGCATATGTGTTAACCATTTATTGTTGCACCAGCTTATAGTTTCTGGTCAGTACAATGGTTCTTTCCAGCAGGAAACGCAAGTTATGCTCTCTCAAAAGAGCACTGGCGTGGAGAGAGAGAATTGCAATCACATCTCTGGACCTAAACAAAAAAGAGGTTATTGGAGCATTATAAAGAATCCACACAATATTTTAGCACAGGATGACACTCCATAGGAAACTAAGCAAGAAGTGATACCTACCTAACAGAGCCTGGGCACATTCAGCCACCACTAATTGGTGGGATGATGGCAACCTCGTCTCCAGGCTGCAGGACCAGGAGCTGATCTCCAAGAAGGACGTACTCTTGCCGAACAGCAAACACTACTTGATCCCGGATGACAGCAAGCCTGAGGGGGATTGGCAGGAGCAGAAACAGGTTTCTAAATAGCATGTTTGCATTTAACCATGAGATTTCATTAAAGAACAAACTGGTGTACAGTCTAGGGTAGGCTGAGGTAAATATCACTGAGACTTACGCAACTTCGCTTCCAATACACTTTCAAAAACAGAATAAACACCCACCTCCTACTCTTGGATTTTCCTGTGGCGGCTAAGGAGAAATCAACTCAGCATAATTTTCAGAAGTCAGGAATTGGATTTGTCATAGCCCTACATCAGAACAAATCAATACATACCAGACCCACTTCAGCAGCTTCTAACAAAGCCATCCAATTTGGGATTGGAAGGAAGCGTTCCCCTGATTCAGTCTTGTTGGACCAGAGCAATTTTCTCACACAACAAGAAGCATTCCAGGATGCTGCTCATGAGATCTCAAGAACATTCAGTGGTCAAAGAATTGCTCTTGTCGTGTAACTTCATAGTTTATGAGGCTTTAGTTCTTTCGTACTTACAGGTCTGAAATTTGCTGTTGATAAGGAGTGGCAACAGAACTAGGATGGCAGATTACAGTGCATTTTCTGGCAGATCTTCTACCTATTTTTTGATTTCACATCTGTGAGATGTTGTTGTGAGAGTCCAAAGCTCTGGATACCATGAGGCTGGGAGTCACTTCCATGACTAAGTGCAATAAGAGACTGAGTATGAGGGCAACACCAGAATGCCAACATTTTACTTTAGAAGGTGCAGGTGTGATAACTGTTACTGTTTGAGACTATAAAAATCTGGCACAGACAGTGAAAAGCTGTATTCCCTAGAAACAAGTAAGCATGCCAAAAGGGGATAAGTAAAAATCATCTCATTTCCTACTAGCCAGATAGACAAAAGTAGGCAAGACACAGCCTGAGCAAAACACAGTAGCACCGAGGGCAGACTGAAGGGAGGGATCATATTAAAGTAAAGCAAGCCACTGAGGAACTGAGAGCAACTATGAAACTGAAGTGCCCATTAGAAGGATGGGCTCTAATTAATGTCACTTGCAAGTTAATTCATTGGGGAAAATGGGTGGAACAGAAGAGCATTGTTAAGTATGTTCAAGCTGCAGTTTGAATATCCATTAGCAATGTGAATAGAAGTCTGTGGTCAATGCCCCACAATTATGTTGAGTTTTTCCAGAGAAACTAGGAGCAGAAGCATTTTCTAAGAAGGCCGCTGTGAAGTAACTACACATGCAAAATGTACTGCCCCAAGTCATTGTTCATGAAAGGACAAAGCTGACAAACTGTGGCAAACCGACCAAAGGTGCTGCTGCTGCTTCTGACACCAACTAATAGGCTGAAAAGTAACACGCACTCATCCCCCAAAACACGCTTTGTCTCAATTCTCTGTGAGGAAAAGGCCTCTCGTCTAACATTTGGTTAGAGCTCCTCATTTGAAATGATGCTATTGCTAAATAGTTAATTTTTTTCACAGCCTTTGAGAGTAGATCTTGTAAAGAAGGGTGGTGCCTAAAGGAAGACTTTGACATCTAAGTCCAAAGTTATGGAAATTCCAGTGTATTCATCACTAAATCCTGAGGACCTCAACCTCTGTTATACCTTACTTTTTTTTTTTTTTTTTTTTTTTTCACTCGCCACTCCAAAATGGTGTTGCACCTTCGTCCATCAGACTCACTCTTGACAGGAGTGAGCACCTTCCCTCAGCCTTAACCTGAGGGGGGATTTCTGCTGACACCTGCAAAGAGCACCAGTGCTGCAGGGATCCTTACAGCACACACCTAGCACTCTCTCAGGACCAGACTCCCTGTAAAGTGCAACCAACAGCAGGCTGTTTTTTTCAAAGCAGAGGTTTAAAGTGGCTAAGCCTCTTTCCTATGTAAGGGCTAAGTAGCTAGAACCCTGAGGCAGGGCTTCAGTTCCCTTCCTGATCTGCCTTCCTGAGTGTGCCATAAGCTCTGACCAATGGTTAAGACTACAGTTAAAGATAAGTGATCGAAAACATCTTCATGTTATCATGAATTTCTTATTTATTGCCCTAGCTGTGCTTGATCTCTCCTTGACACATCTCACCTTCTCCACAGGTTAATAACACAGCTCAGTTTTCACGTGCAGCAGAGTTACCGCACTATGGCCCTCCTGGACAATGGGCCACACGTCTTAAAGCGCCTCTCGGGCTCAACTTGTGGGTACATTCACTGGACCTAGTCTTTCCTTGTGTATACATAAGCTACAGTACTTCCAACCGTCCCAAACACAAAATGCTTGCTGCAGGTTACAAGAACAAGGTCACGACACTGGTTTTACGGTATCAAAGTACTGATACATGTCCCAGCTCAACCAAAACAAAAACCCCAAACACGTTAAACTTCGTGCACCTCAGCCGTAACTTTCCCGAATACCTTGGGTGAACCTTGACGATCTCCTCCCAGAGCTGCAGAGCGGTGATCTGCCGCGGCACCGAGAGGGCCTCGCAGCGCAGCCCCGCCAGCTCCGCGCTCCTGGCGAAATAGAGCACCGAGACCTGCTCGGGGAACAAACACCGATCAGGGGAGCGGGGCCTACTGAAAAAAACAACGCTACTGCACATCAACTTCTCCGAAAATACCAAACAACCGAAACCAAGCAAGCATGACGAAAAGCCTTCCCTGGCTTTTTTTTAATGCCGATAAGCTCTGTCGCGTTCTTCCTGCCCCG